ACATAAGTTTTGACAAAAAATGGAGTGGCCGGGTAGAGGCGGTGGAGTCGGGGCCCGCGCCGGCGCGGCGATCGCGATCGACTCTAGAGCCGTATGCCACTCTCTCTGTAAAAAACTTGTACGGCTTTAGGTGTATGGACTAAGCACATCGCCATCGGGCGAGACTACGTAGTGACTACTCCGCCAGGAGGAGACCAATCTCTCGCGCTTTTGTGCCATAGCGTCCTATCCCTCCCAGCCACTGGCGGCGCAGCCAAGCCCCCGCAGTACCCAGTACCGCCCACTGCCTCGCCGTCCGACTCTCAGGTCCGACTCCACCCACCAGACCTCAAATCGGGATGGCCAACTTTGGCTTCTTCGGCGGCGGCGCCTTGGCCCTCGGCTCGTCGTCCGCCGCCGCCGTGCTGCCGCCGCCGAGAGTCGTCTGTTTCATTGCCTTGCCGCCAGCCTTGGCCCTGCCGGCGGACGCCGACTTGGCGCCGGCCGACGTGGAGCCAGCAGCAGCCTTTTTGCCAGACCACTCTGCGACATACTGCTTAACGTCGAACTTGCGCTTGCAGCCGTTGTAGTTCATGTATCGGATCTTACCGAAGACGGCGCGCTCCGCCCATCCCATGTCGTGCACGCCCATGACGGACCAGCCGACGCCGACGTAGCCGTTCGGATCGCGCCCGTCGATCGAGTACTTGTCGTTGAGGTAGAGGCCAATGCGCAGCGCCTTGCATGACAGCCCCTCCTCCGTCTCGCGTGATTAATCTCGTGGGGTCTCAATCATCGCGGCGATCTCTGACGATCTCTGGCGATCTCTGGCGATCTCGGGTCACCTCGGCCGGCGAGGCGGTCCACTCGAGAATCTTCTTTGCCCATCAGTCAACAACACAATGCCGAGAGCAGGGCGGCCTTTGAGCAGGGCGGCCTTAGAGGCAACTAAGTTCCTGCTGCATTTTGCCACTCAACGTACAACTTGATGGCGGGCGGACGTGTCGAGCATGGTCCATGGATCGAGAGCATGGAAGGCGGCCATTGCTCAAACCTGTTCGAGTTGGCCTCCGGGAACAAGGGTGCATGGCCGGGGCGGTCTGTTTCACGTGCAATAAGGGCAACGCCATCAAAATCGCGCGAACATGGGCCGACATGCCTCCGACATTTCTCAGGGCTCGGACGGAAGCTCTGCAGACAGCCAGACCGCTCTGCGCGCACATTAGTGTGCGGTCGGACCGACTTTTTCAGACTTACTATTCTGGATACTGAGGGTATGTGCTGCTAGATCTCACTGAGCTGAGCTCGTATCTGCCTTTGGTAAGCAGTTGAGTTCGGTAATGTCTCCGGAGACGGAGGGCCGCGTCCGCGGACGACCATGACGTCGGCCGCAGGTCGGCCGGGACCCCCCCCGCGCAGGGGCCTTCGATGGCTGTCAGCGCTCCTTCGGGCTTTGCATCTCACCTCCCATTCACGCACGTAGCTTAAGCAAGTACTCGTAAAAACGGCGCGTCAAATGCAGCATCCAGGCGTCTAAAGAAGACGACATGAATGGTTCACAGAGAATGTGTTCAGAACTTTGCGCGGGGGTGTGTGGACAGCCATTCCGCGTGGTTGAGGGGTTGAAGGGGTCTGTCAACCACTTGGTTGAGGGTTGAGGCCTCTGTCAACCACGTGGTTGACAGTTGAGGCAATCGGCCTCAACCACCGCTTCGGGCAGAGTATAGTTGCGGCATCGCCGAAAAAGATATTTCCGCGAATGTGCATGTAGCTCTTACTCCTTAAAATCCCTGTTGGTGGGCCGAAAAAAGATTCTTGGAACCGGCTCTAAGCGAAAATAGGGCACTTTTTCGGTGCTGGTAGCCCCCCCAAAACAGGCGCGCGCAGCGCGCCCAGGGGCGCCGCAGGCGCCCCAAGCGGCGCGGAGCGCCGCCGCAGGCGGCGGACAGCAGGTGCGCGAAATTAAACGCCATTTTCGGTTCCGCGGTTTTGCCACTAACATTGAAATCCGGTACAAAACAACTTAGCCGAAACAGCTGACAGACAGACAGAGAGCACACACGTTCGAGACGGGGGTGCGCCGACCGCCGTCGCGGACCCAGTAGAGCTAGATGGTCCCACAGGATGCGCCCTTAGCCTCTGAGCTCGTCCTAGACATTTTAGGGAAGCGTGGGCAGACCAGAACGCGGCCACGGCGACGCTCCCCTCCGAGGCTGTCAGCAGCGCTGGCGGCGATCGTGGCGACGGCGCCTCGCCGCTGCAGCGGCACAGAATCGAGGAAGTGGCGTTGGTGGCAGCATCAATGAGATATGAAGGCGGCCGTAATGCTGGTGGCGCCTTCGAGGGCGGCGGAGAGGGCGGTAGCAGCGACGGCGATCGAGTCATGTGGCAGGGGTGCGAAGATGCAGCAGGGAGGCTTGAGTTAGCGACGCGGGGCGGTGGCGTGCCAGCAGGTAAGCGGCGGCGGCGGAGAGCAGGTGCGCGAAGTAAAGGCCAATCTTGAGATATCCATTTTGCACCACCTTTGGATTTCTGGTACAAATTGACTTGTGGATCTTGAAGGCACGCGCAAGAGCGCACCAGGCAAGTTGACTGAACCTCGGATCTCGCTGCCGCTAAGCGTGGCGTCGATTATCAAACGAGCGGTGACAGTAGCGGTGGCAGCGGCGGCAGCGTCGACAGGAGCACCTACTGCAGCGTGAAATGTGAGCTGGGGGGCGGGAGGCAGATGCAATAGGAGCGGGAGAGTGAGATCGTCAGCCAGCACGGCAGACCTTTAAAGCGCGGCTGCGGGCGCGTTTGCAGTGACATGCGATCCATGTGGTAGCAAAGGCACGGCGGGAGTAGCGCGTATGCAGGCTGTGGGCGAGGGTGGCGCGTCGCGAGTGGCGGTGCAGCTAGTCGGTGGCGCGGGTGCTGGCGACCGGCGGAGAGATGCAGACGGCGCGAGAGATGAACCCTGCGGAGAGGCGAGGTGACGGGCGAACCGCGACGGTGGGAGAGGGCTGAGCATCGGCTTCACCGGAGGCACAGGAGCCTCGCACGCCCGACCGTGACGAGAGCGCCCTAACGCTGCTTCATGAAGCAGCGTTAGCGCCCTAACGCTGCTTCATGAAGCAGCGTTAGGGCGCTACCAGCACCGAATGGGTACCCTCCCCAAATAGAAACCCCGCCACCGCCGATCCATGCTGTTGACGTGGTTGCTTCACTCGTCCACAGCCTTCACCTTGGCGCGGGCGCCGGTGCTCAACGGTCACCCGCTGGCGCCCGCCACACGCGCGCGCCATCACGCCGTGGTCGCTCGCGAAATCGCGTTCGTCGCGCAGTCAGAGGCACGGTGCGAGCCCTTTGCGGCGACACGCGCTCGGCCGCTTGGCGACTGGTTTGCTCAGGAGGACGCGCTGCGAATCCTCATGTCCCAGGCCGAGTCCTGCCGTCGGCTGGACGAGGACGCGCCGCCGGGCAGCGAGACGCAGCGGTGGGAGGTGGTCACGCCGATCGAATTCCCAGGCATGGTTGCTCGCAGCGTCACCCCGATGGACATCCGCGTCGACGCTGCGGCGGACCGCCCAACGCTGAGCATCTCGTCCGGCGCGTCCGAGACTCAATGCTCCGGCGGGCCGGGATGGGCGCAAGCGCTCCTCTCACGCATCGGCGAGATCGCGACCACAGTTTCGAGCAACACCGTCGACGTGCAGGAGGACGAGGGCGGCGGGCTGACGGTGGTGTCCCGCGTCAAGCTGACCGTCAAGCTGTCCATCCCGACACTGCTGCTGCCGCCGTTTGTGCCTGCCGGCCCCTTTGAGCGGTCGGGCAGCGAGTCGCTGCAAAAGCTGCTCGACCGAGACATGGGGACCGTGCTCGGGCGCTTCCGCGAGGGGTACCTGACTTGGGCGACCGGCGACTGACCAGAAGGCCGCCCTGTAGAGGCCTTGCGGGGGTAAGAGAGAGGTGCACACGCTGATGTAGTCGGGCCCTTCTCGGACGTGACGGACTCCGCGAGCCCCGACACCGGGTGGCGGGACCAGCGCCGCCCGTGTCGCACACACAAAAAAGCGACGCTTGAGACAGTGTTTACGTTAATAGCCAGACGATCCATCATCGCTGAGCGACTGCGGATTCTCCACCGACAGTCGAACAAGAACCCGTGTGATATGATCCAGCAGACACTGCGGGGAGCCGGTCTAGCCGTGAGAGTGTGGCGCCTGGCGCGCGGGTGGCGCGGGTCGCAGCTCCACCTCAAGCTGTCGCAACCACGCAAGTCGCAAGGTCTATCTACAACGCCGGTCGTTCAGGGGCCGATCACCAGCAGCACTGGCACCGGCAGTGACTCGCCGTCGTTCGTGTCGGTGATTCGCCTCATCCGCTGCTTCTTGTCCTTTGAGCCCTTTGGTCTGCCGCCCCCAGGCTTCCGCTTGACCTTGTCCTTGGATCCCTTTGGCCGGCCGCCATTTTTGCGAACGCTCGGCGACCCATTCTCCACCCGCCTGGAAGGCGCTCTCATCAGCAAGTCACCGCCGGCTGTGCTCGCACTGGAGCTGGTAGCACTGGTGCAGTCCGCCTGCGGTGCGCCCGACGAGCATGCTGGTGTCGGCTTCGCCGCTGGCGCCGCAAGCGAAGCCAGCTCGATTTTCGCGGTCGAAGGGTGGGCCTCGCACTCGTCCGAGCGCGTCTTGAGGTTCATAGTGACCGTTCGTATGTACCCGTGCCCTCTGGGACCTGCACCTGGACCTGTGTCGACAACGCCGAGTCCGATGTCGTCGGCGGCCCAATCGGTGATAGTATTCCGTCGAAACGCGAAGGAAAATTGCACGGTACTACGTTTTGAGCTTTTCTCTTGCAGATTACTACACACCACACAATGCAAGAGCTTTTCTCTTGCAGATTACTACACACCACACAATCCACCTTGCAGATTACTACACACCACACAATCCACCTTGCAGATTACTACACACCACACAATCCACCTTGCAGATTACTACACACACAATCCACCTTGAGCACTTGAGCACTGGATAGGGCCGATTCCGCGTGGTACGGGACCCCTCGATCGTCTCGCCCTCCCTCACTGGTGTGTTCATCGGGGGGGGTCATAACAAACACGGTACAGGATCGAGGTGCACGCTGCCGAAGCAGTGTCGTCCCCTCTCTCCCCGACGGCGATGGCGGTGTGACCGATCGAGCTACAAGAGGAGCTTGTTCAGCAGGATCCGGGTTAGGCTGGCGCACTACCTCACTGGGCCTGAGATCGCAACGCCGCTTCCCGTCACCGTCTCGGGTTTATGTGGGATCGAACCACTCCGGGATGGGCAAGCCCATCGTTCTGAGTTGCGTCTTTCCCTCACCTGCAGGGGACCGCCGAACGCGTGACGTGGGCCGTGTGGGCCGGACCGGGCCCGGTGGGGGAAGGGGGGGGGGGAGCAGGGGGGGGGGGGGGGGGAACGGGGGCTCTTCCCGGTAAAAAAAAAGCCGGGATAGCAACTTTGACCCGTACTACAAAAGCAAACCTCGTTCCCCGGGCTCAGCCCCCTTGATATGTGGCCCCCCCCCAATAAACCACTTTAGGGGCCCCGAATGCGGGGGCGCCCCACCCCCCCACAAATGGGGGAAAGACCTCCCCCCCTGGGGGTGCCCTTGTTCTTAAAGAAAATTTTGCCCCCCCTCGGGGGGGCCCCCCCC